TTCACGCCGACTTTAAAATAAAAACGTGAAGCTCATAAATGTTTGTTATTATTTGAGCTGTTAAGTCTAAGTCATCCTTTAAATAGGACTACTTTTTTAGGCAGATAAACATCTGGTAATGAGATGTAATTCCTAACGTAAACAGTTAAAATATGTCACAACCTTTACTCAGATTTTGGCGTTCGCACCGCAAGAACTAGGAACAATTTTAGTTCTATGAGCTCCTTTTGGAGGAACTAATTGAGCTCCTACTTCAGAGTAGCGTCTACATTTGCACTATAGGAACTATCCGACATTAGTATACGCTTATTGGCTGAATCCACACAAAAAACAGTTACCCGCCTTTTTAAAAAAAGCTGTGTAAACACACAGATTATAGCCTATATATTTACTCCACAAACTAACTCTACAAACAGGCAAAACAGTGATAGATGGGCTTCTTAACCTTTACGCTGAGGAGAAAATCCAACGCAACTTTGAGAGGACCAAGCGAAACATGATTATATATTTCTGCTAAGCTAAATTTGCAACACTGGACGTCAACCACACGGCATACTCTAATAACTTTTCATAAACTGTCTACTTTCTTTGTGTAACAGTTCTATCTATTAACGTATTCCACTGTACATCAGTTTTTGTTTTTTGTGAAGAACAAGTTAAAAAAAATTTCTGTGATCGACTGTTAGACAAATCGTAAACTAATAAACACGGAGAATGCGAGCACTGTGTGCTCAGGCTGGCGTTCTCAGCGCTGTCAAAATAAAAGTCTCCAAAAAAAGCATGGCTGACGTCACTTCAGACTCTCTACTGGCGGTGCGAATGCAACCAGGAAAACGTTCCTTGGGGAACCATTAGTTCTCGGGGAACCACCCTGGTAGCTAGTTCCTAGAACTATCCGGTGCGAAAGCCCCTATAGAGATGGACATTATTTTTTAGATGATGTGAAAAATTATAGTTCAATGCTTTTGTGTTTGTTTGCGTTCCCCGAGAAACTTTGCGTTCGCTCGCAAAACATTTCAGTTCTTTGTGAACTTTGCAAACACAATATTTTTGAAAGAGAATGCAAAAGCGTTGGTATCCTTGTGCACATCCATAGACATATACACTAGACCTCACCTTGGGGCTCTAAGCATGCGTCAAAACCGCCGCCATCTTGGAACAGGGGTCTTGTCATAGGAAGTAGCTAGGTAACGCTGCTATCTCTGCCTTTACTTTGAATTCATTGATGGTGGCGGACTTTTGTGCAGCGTATGATGTTCACGGATGAAATCTGAACTAGGAAGAATGTTTAAAAAAAAAGAATAATAATTTTCTTTTTGGAATCAATGATAAATACATGTCTGACCATTGGAACAAACCAAAAAAACAAGAAAAATCGCGTTCATGATGAGTTATGGTGATTTTATTTCCGTTAGACCTGTGTCTACATTGACGCTGATGCATTAAAGTGGAGGGGCTCCCCTGTTTCAAGATGGCGGCTCTATTGACGCATTCGTTCCAATGAACTGCCGTAGCCAAGGTGACGTCTAGTGTATATGTCTATGGTGCACATCATGCGAAAGTTCTAATGTTTATGAACTTAAAACTGCGTTGACAGCTTTGTAAGTGTTTTAGCTCAATAGCCTAATGCCTACGTGTAATGTTTTCATTTTGTGGCTATAGCCTACTTTTCAAACAGCGTGTACTAAAACAATTATTTGTAAGACTAGGTGTAGGTGTAATAGACTTCCACTGTACGTATCTGTTTTTGTTTTTTTTTCAAACTGAAGGACGAGTTGAAATTGTTTTCTGTGCTCGATAGTGAATGTCATCAGCTGAAGTGTGTTTTCTTATAAACAGCTGCAGACAGCTTCGACCACAAGAAGTTCTTTGATGTGGTGGGGCTCAAGGCTCTGTCTGCTGACAACGTGAAGTTGGTCTTCCAAGCTCTGGATGTGGACGCCAGCGGCTACATCGAGGAGGAGGAGCTTAAGTAAGAGACACTTTACAGGTGGCTGCATGTTGTTATGTTTGTGCCAACTCTCTCTGAATGAAGACCCATAAATTAGTTTTATTCTTGTGTCTTTTGGCCCGTCTTCAGTGTTGGTGTCTCATTCTACCTTTATTATTGTCTCCTGTTGGCCTCAAGGACACCGAGCGAGCGATTCCTGTTTGCATTGATTTGCTATATATATCGCCTGTAGCAGCAGACTTGTCCACCTATTATTTATTATTATCAGTACATGACTGTCCATCATTGGCCAACAGCAGGGAAGTCCAGGGTTGCCAGATTGAAATTAAAGGCCTGTTCACACCAACAACGATAACTATAAAGATAAGAGCGTCCACACTAGCGGACGATGTCTTTCTGTTTATTATAAGCACATGCTGCAGTTATTGCATCTGCCGCTTTAAATGCTTGAGCTCTTTAAAGCAGGATGGATTCTGATTGGCTGTCAACGTTTTTTTATGGTTCATGAGCTGGAAAAATTGTTTACGAAAGGGATTCCAATTATGTAATTTCTCTGTGCCAGTAACGTTATAGAATCTGATGTTCTTTTATATTTAGAACTATTAGTATCATCCTTGGTGTGAATAGGCCTTAAAGGGATAGTTCACCAAAAAATTTAAATTGTCAACATTTACTCACCCGTAGGTTGTTCCAAACCTGTATGAGTTTTTTTTTTCTTCTGCCGAACATAAAAGAAGATATTTTATAGAATGTCAATAACCAAACAGTTGATGGACCCCATTGACTTCTATCGTGGTCATACTATGGAAGTCAATGGGATCCAATGTAGTTAATTTTTGGGTGAACTATCCCTTTAAGACAAGAATTCTACAGAGAGCCATCAGGGTAGACCTTTTTTGTTTGTTATACAACTACCAACCTGAATTTTTAAATGTTAACTAATATCTCATTAATTAAATTAGTTAAATTAATGAACAATTCATGATACAAATTAAAACAGGTTGGGTGGTAACCCAACTAACTCTAACTATAAACTTAACTATATTAGTGTCCACAACGCACAACATCTTTCTGTTTATTATAAGCTTTGTCGTCTGCCACTTTAAATGTTTGAGCTCGTTAAAGCAGGATGGATTCTGATTGGCTGTCAATGTTTTTATTGTTCATCAGCTGGGAAAAAATAATTCTGAAAGTGTTTTCAACGATATTGTAATTGTAGTGTGGACTTGCCTATTCTCATAGAATTAGATTATTACAACTTAATAGTTAACTTTATTGTTATAGTCATCATCTTTTATCATCTTAACTTGCACACTAGAACGGTATTTAAATCCAGTAACTGTAGTGTTCAAGCTGTGACCTGGGTTGCCAGATTGAGTTTTATCTCTTCTCTTGGCCAGGTTTGTGCTGAAGGGTTTTGCTGCAGATGGCAGAGATCTTACCGATAAGGAGACCAAAGCATTCCTCGCTGCTGCCGACAAGGATGGAGACGGCAAAATTGGCATAGATGGTGAGAGAACAAGCACTCTTAAAGGAACCGTACCTCTAAAAATTAGAAAACATTGTCCCACATACTTGAACATACAGGAACGTGTCAACAATGATAAAAAAAGAAGTCTAATCCACTCTCCTGCTATTTTCTTTCAGAATTTGAAGCTTTGGTGCACGAGTAAATCGTCAATATTTGGCAACCCTTTACACCACTACTCTTCTGTGAATATCTACAGCCAATCATGTTGTACGTCTCTACACATCCTGCCACGAGCTAGGAGCACAACCGCCTCCTTTTACCCCATTTATTTATTTACCGTTTCTTTTTTTTATATACAATCTCTGTAGATTTTAGTTAGCTAACAACATCTCATAAAAACCTGGAGATTCCTGTACCGATTTCACCACTCATCTCTTCTTTTTTGTTCATTTTGGCACGTTTCTTTCTGTTTATGCCTCAAAATGCTCCTTTCTTCTCCTTATCTTGCTCCATCTGTCATCCCTTCCCTGTTTCGCTCCTCTCTTGTGATAGAGCCACTGAACAGGATGAATATATGAAGAGAAGGATTAGATGAAATGAGAGAAAAAAATATTGAAGAGAGTTAAAATAAAGCCATGCGTTGAGAAAAAAAAAAAACACTGCGGTTATCATTTATTTCAATGACTCCAGTGCAGAGTGTATTACATTCCATCTGTCAATTCAATTAATTTAACTAAATTGCAGCCATGGAATTACAGATTTTATGTATGGGTCAAGGGTCATTAATTCTGCTAATTTATTATTATTATTATTTTAAATTAATCGCATTAAATTAACAGCCCTAAAATGACTAAAATCACTGAATTTTAATGCTCACATTGAGAGGCACAATCCAACGCAAAAGTACACACAATAAATACATGATCTCTTTGTAATAAATAAATAATTGTGTTGAAAAACACCTAAAGACCTGAAATTTGTGCTAAACCTATTAAAAAAAAAAACACTCTAAACGTAAACCGATTACAATACCTATAAAATGCACAACATTCAGACAGATGCACACATGAAAACAAACCTAGTGATCCATAAAGCATAACACAATCTGAAAGTTTTGTGAATTTAAAGGGGCCATATTCTTTTCCTCTCTCTCTATGGAACACTTTTACTAAGATTTGTTTGAAAAACAGTCAATTTAGTTTTTATGACCATTTTACCTTCTTTTACGTGTTTGTAAGTGTTGTTGATGTGTCGATCTAATATAAAACATTAACGTTTGGCCTTTTTGGAGGATGTTTTAATAGCATGTGTAATTCAATTTCTCCTGATAAAACCTCTTTAAATGATTTAGCTAACTCTATTTAGCTGAGAGAGTGTCGCTACACAATATACTGTATATTTATAGGTACAGCCATCAAATTAAATACTAAATTTACTTTAAAAAGAGCCTTTAAATTAATTTAAAAAAATCATTCTCATTCTAATATTAAAGTTGACTCAAATTGTATAATTATCAACAAATCAAGTTAGTACAGACTCTGAGCCAGTCAGAGTGCAGGTGCTGTTTTTTTAGTGACAGGTGTGTCAGTGAATCCGTGGTCCTGATCTGTCGTTGGTGACTGTGGGCCGGAGCTTCACGGTGGCAAAAGGATTTGATCCTCTAGAATAAAAGAAGAAGGAAAAAAGGTCATTACTTAATTGCCACTAAATTCCGAATTTAGCACATTTGCACCAAAATTTTCGTGATCGTAATGTAAAAATAATAATTGTGACTTAATTCATGGTGACTCTCATAGTTTTTTTTTTTAAATGTATAATATTTTTTGATTTTAATCAGTATTTTATAGGGCTGTCAAACGATTAATCGCGATTAATCGCATCCAAAATAAAAGTTTGTGTTTACATAATATATGTGGGTGCACTGTGTATAATTATTTTGTATATATATAAATACACACACATGCATGTATATTTAAGAAAAAAAAATGATTTATATATAAAATATTCATATTTACATATCATATAAATTAAATATAAATCTATATACAGTATATACATGAAAATATTTCTGAAATATATACAAGCATGTGTGTGTATTTTTATATATATATATATATATGAAGAGTTCAGATGCAAAAGCCTCTAAATGCCATTTGAAATTTTCTTCTTTAATGATGATTTTTATTAAACTTGTATATTTAAGTTCAGTAATTTCACTTAAATAACAATTAATAGGTAATTATCATTGCCATTTAAGTGAAATTACTGAACTTAAATATACAAGTTTGATAAAAATCATCATTAAAGAAGAAAATTTCAAATGGCATTTAGAGGCTTTTGCATCTGAACTCTTCATATATATAAAATAATTATACACAGTGCACCCACATATACTTATTGTGTAAACACAAACTCTTATTTTGGATGCGATTAATCGCGATTAATCGTTTGACAGCCCTAGTATTTTACTGAAATACTCCCCTTATCTATATACATAATATAAATTTGCATTACTTGTCATGAAACTAATTTCACAAGTTTTCTACTCTTCTGTTGAAAATGAAATGTGTGTAATACCTGGGGAAAAGAGGGTGCTCTGGTGGTTGTCCGTGAGTAGTTGGCCTCTGTGAACATGGAAAAGGGTTTACAATAGCACTCAAATTGACACAAAATATGACAGGGTGTAGTTTGCGTTCTCTTGGTTCTTTTGTTCCGGACAGTAAAAAAAGAAAATGAGGGTGTGTTTACACTTGTCAGGCTTGGTTGGATTAAAACTAACTCTTGTGCTCTGTTAGTTCGGTTCATTTGAACAAGTGTGAACGCTGCCATCTGAACCCTGGTGCATCATCATCTTTTCAACGTCTCGGCCCGGGTGTTTGGTGGCGCCGTGGTTCAGATGGCAGCGTTCACTTTTATTCAAATGAACTGCAATAACACAACACAATAGTTTTAATAGAACCAAACTTGACCTGTGCGAAACACCCTGAGACATCAGCAACTTTAACCAAAAACAACTCAATTGAGAGTTTCAACAAGAACCTGAATCTGAATGAATCGGCAAATAAAAAAATAATAATAATAACAGCACAGAAATAATAATAATAACAGAACATTCCATGAAAATTCAATTTAGTTTCCAATGCGTATGTTTCTGTTGTACGAACTGTTATCTAACATAAAATTAACTTAGCATGCAAAGAAGGTCGTTTTAAACGAATCAAATATTTCATGACATGAATTTAAAATTTTGGTGACATTTTGGCATTACATTAACCCTCTGGGGTCGGCTATCGCGCCGGCGCTACAAGCTCACTTTTTTCCTTATCAGTGCAAAAGAGACTCAAATTACTCTGATGATTTTGATCTTGCATATAAAAAAATCAGGAAAACTACAGTGTCAATTTCGCTTAACAATCACCTCTGCTGTTGATTCGGCCTTTCTCTCGGGGAGAGGAGAGTGCAGAGGGGCTGGAGCAGGAACCGCGAGTTCATTAATATTTTTGTGCTCTACTTTGCTCTCAAAATGAGACTCCGCCCTCCTGTCAGGGAGAGGGGATATTGGTCGAATGTCAGCCGATCCACGGCGGAGTGGTGCGGCTGGGGGCGGGATCTCATGGTAGGTTTTCTGGCTGGTCTTAACCTCGTTGTTAGACTCCGCCTTCTTTTCGGGGAGGGGAGAGTTTGAGCGTAGATCCGCCGACGCACGACGCAGAGGCACCGATGGGGACGGGCTGTCACTGTGGCTCTGGGTGTCCGAATGCTCTGATTGGTTGGTTGGATCCAGGAGGTTGTTCATGCTGTGGCTTCGGTGCGACGTACTACTGAAAACGTAAAAACGTTAATCTCAAATTTGTACGATTTATAAGTAGTTACAATTTAAACCTCGCGTTTACCTTGAGCCCAAAGGTACAAAGTCTTCAACGGATGCCACGTACGCAGCAGGAAACCAACCTTGACTAAAAGGAAACCAAGAAAAACAAGACTAAAGGCCATTGCACACTGAGTACGAAATTTTCTTATGCGTATTTTCGTGTTCGTCAGCCTAAAAATTCGTCACGCATAGAAACCTTGCACACTGAGTCAGTTGCGTATTTATTAAACGTTTGCGGGAAAAAACGCAAAAATACCAAATGGATTCGTCAAGCAGTGAGGATGATTTTTGCCCTTTCTCTTATTGAAAAGAGAAAAAAGAGAAAATATTACGTCCATCCAATCCAGAAATTGCGCCGAGACAGGAGAGTTCCACCTTATCAAGGAGTTGCGAATTTATCCTGAGCGATTCAAAATTTACCTCAGAATGTCAGTGGGACAGTTTGATGCTTTGCTAGCGATTCTGGAGCCACATATTAAAAACAAGACCACCAATTTCCGTGACCCAATCGATCCTGAACGGAGACTGGCTGTGTGTGAAAAACGCAGAAAATCGAACCCGATCCGAATAATTGTATGACGGACGAAAGTTTCGGAGGCGGTGTGCAAGCGTGACTGACATAACGTGAGGTCGAATTTTTTTTTTAACGTGCGAAAATTTCGGATGCGAATTTCAGACTCAGTGTGCAATGGCCTTAAGTAGTTTCCAGAGACTTGACTTAGCCATGATAATGGCGGTAGACGCTCTCACCGGAGGCTTGAGTCGTGGCGTCCGTACAGCCAACCGTTGCGTGGTTCTTGAATGAGCACGGTCAGCACGTCCCCACGGGAGAACGGCAGCAGGACCGGGTTGGATGAAGCGGGGTGGGACACGATGGCCCTCATGGAGCGCCCACCTCCCAACCCCAGAGACTCTCCTACAGAGCTGGAGCGGGAACGACTGGGGAGAGGAGACGGGGCTAGGAAGAGGTGTAGACAGAAGAACATTTAAACCGCTCATTGAGACCACAAGGATTTTAATAACTTGAAAAATACATTTTATTTGAACATACAGTAATTGGGGAGGTCCCCGGGATATTAAATATTAAATATTAACACAATTAAAATAATAAAATAATAAATCGGCTTCATTGCAGATTCGAACAAGTTCCATTTAAACAACACATTTCAATAGTTTCGCCAGTAGTGGGCACTTGTCCAACGTAAGCTAAGACGTGCAATAAGACGAAGGGACGTGCATAAAAAAATTGGACTTAAATGTGGCTACAGTTCTAACATGAGTCTCCAGACCTCTAGAGGGCACTCTGCCCAGTGGCTCACGGCCCATTTCTTGGTCTCCAGTCTGCAGCAGAGAGCCCAGAGAACTCTTCAACTGCAACAAACATCAAGACAGACATCAATCTTTGTGTTGCCAGGCTTCTAAACAGCACTCAACAAGCGTGAAATAAGAGTAAAAATTGGTTTTGCAGAGTAAATGCAAAGTCATTTTCGGGACCCTTGATGGACCCACAACAAATATAATTTCTGCGTTCCCATTTGTTCCAAATGCCAAAAAAAAAAACAACTTTAGGGTTTCTTTACCTTTATTATAACAGAATAGTGATAAATACTGTATATGTACATTATTTAAAGAAAAAAATATATATAAAAGTACTTGTTTGTTACGATAAAAGCTGTGTAAATGTTCCATTAGTAAAGAAAATGACATATATTATATGCTACTATTAACAACCCCAAGTTTAATATATATATATATATATATATATATATATATATATATATAGTATATAAAAAATAAATCTCCAAAAGGTGACATTTTTCTAATTCATTTTTCACCCCATCGATGTACATTAGGTATTACTCTACTTTATTGACACCTTAAAGTTACATAAACACAATAGGTTAATCTCATAGTACTTGCAAACAGCATTTCATTATAGTTCAAAAACAGCCCGTTGGCACGATTATTAGGGTGTCGTGGAGATTCGTAAACGACAACGGGCGTCGGGACGCAAGATTCGATCGTATCATCTCGTATAATGTGTCATACCTACGCCGCGTCTGCGATGCTTCACGACAATCACAACAAAAAGACTAGCATGGTTAATTTTTTTAACGGTCATCCATGATAGTTCCGTCACATGTATGAGGTTGACCAATAGGAGCACAGAAGCTTTTCTGTATACAACTTTCAAAAATGGCGAAACGAAAGAGAGACGAACTAAAAGAAAAAATATGTAAGAAAACAATATTTTACCTCAAGTTCTCTTCGGAGAATTGGCAGCCCATACTGTCCTCTTCGAGCAATCCAGGAACGTGTCCATTGTCGGGTTTTCTTTCTTTTTTGACTTTTTTTCTGAACACAGGATAGCCAATACAACACTTACCGCTTCATTCACTGTTTGTTTACGTTCGTTTCCGGAAGTCACTCGCTACTAGTTTCGCCTTCTCGATGACGGCACGCGATTACTGCTCAGGAAACAACGTGTAGTCTGACATGTGTCTTGTCCACGACACGACAAGATTTTAGGAGTCAAAATCGCGTAATCTGACACAGTGACTATCGTAACAGACAAACAAAATCATGTAATCTGAACCAGTCATTAGTGTGTTCAGTTCAGTCTTAGAATGTTTCAGCTAGTCGGTAAGTGTGTCCCCGGCATTAAGTAATGCAAAAAACACAATTTCATGTCTTGTAAATTCACCCACAATGAACAGATGTGATAAAAAAGGTAAGTTTGGACTCTACGCCACACAAAGCTACCCATATGTTCCATTATGTGATTATGGAAATGTCTGTACTCGGCAGTTAGCTGAAAAGTGGGGGAATATGGAGTATTTACTCCTCATTCCCATCATTCCAGTGTCACCTGAGCTTCTTGATCTGATGGAGTGGGCGTTCGAGGTCTGGAGGTTCTGCTCTCGCTGACTTTTTCTTTCCATCCATCTGCTCTCTGCTGGAGAGAGACTCCCGTCTGTCAACACATGGAGAAATGGTTGTGCAGTCATTGGGCTGATAAGCTTTGGAAGGAACTGGAAAGAGGGTCTGTATGACTGAGTGGACACCGCTAATGAACTCCAGAGGAAAGCAGCTGTACCTTGTTGATAAGGTATAGTAGTGACTGTGTAAGTCCGCAATGCTTTTCAGCCAGGAAACGATACCTCCTTTCCTCCTCTTTGAGGATTTCATGCTGGCTCTGCCTCAGGTACTGCATGTACTCGCTGCCCTCCTGCAAACACACAAATACAAGAACTGAGACACCTTCACTCACATTGCGGAAAAAGTTAAAGGGATACTTCACCTCTGGAAAGATGAATGTGTATTTAAAATGGATCATTTTTGTAGAAGAAATGTGAAATTATTTTTGAATTTGGAGCTTTCTAGACTGAGAAAAGACAGAAAATGTATTTTTGGCTTATGTGGATGAAAGACAACAACTCCCAGAATCCACTTGCTTCACTGCCCTAGGAGGCCACGCCTACCGGTAACAGAGCACAGTAGGTAAACAACAGTTTTGGCTACTAATTGAATTGAATTCTTTATTGTCATTGTACAAGGTACAACGAAATTGGATGACATTCCTCGCAGTGCTTTAAAATGAATAGAATATAATAAATAAATAAAATTAAGTTAAAAAACATTCACTGTAATGAATTGCTGTAAAAATTACAGGAATATTTTACAGCAGCTGGCTGTTTTCTAATAATACAGCATTTTGCTGTAAACTGCAATGCATTCTGGGGCCGCGTGGCGGTTTGATTCAAAATACAGAATATTGCTGTAAATTTCAAATCGACACAGAGGCATTGTGATCTTCAACGGTCGTGTCGTCGACTTTCGGATAGCGGCAAGAGGAGTGATTCTCAACTGGTAAGTGACTTATTTCAGTTTCTTATTTTTCATGTTGTGTTACTCGTAGACTATGAAGGTAATGTTATATTCGCGGTTCATATTGGTTACAGAGGATCACGCATCCTCCGTACTGGGCACGAGGGAGACTTGCGCGGGGCTTCAGCAGCCCAGACGCCGTTAGTATTTCACACATTCCTCGGGATCTATGGGCTCCTATGTTAAGAAGAATTACGTGCTTTTCTGACAACAGTCGGTATTCACACAAGCTTCGTGTTGATCAGCACACTTCGCCGTGATTATTTTATGGTGTAAATCAAATCAAAATCAAGTAATCTGTTAAAATGGGTGCCGAAATGAAAAAAAAAAAACAGATTATGAATGTTGCTGTGTCGTGACGTTATGTTTAATATTCCGCTGTGAAAATCCCTTATATTTCAGTACGAATATAAGCTATATATCCTATATATTTTAGCTATAACGTTAGCCTAAGTTACTCTCTGTGTGTAATTTGCTTATTTGTTTTCATACTTCCTTTGTTAATTTTATTTAAAAGAAAGAGTTCCTGCACTATGAATACTAAAATATAGTTTACATTTAAAATGCTGAAACATAAAAATGGTATAGTAAAAAATAAACTATTGTCACATGTGGTATTGTTTTAGGAGACACTTTGACAAGAGGACACTGGAAGGCCAAGTTGTGTGTGAGGAGAGCATTCAGCCCAGCTTCCTGTCTGGCCTTGCTACTGTTCACTGCATATTATTACATATTCAATCAGGAGGAGCCAGCCTGCACCTTGGAGTTCATTTAAAGGTAATTATTGCATTCTTAACAACCTCAGTACATTTTACACATGTACTCAATTTCTGCCTTTTGATATATTATCTATTGACTTAAAGGTGCCATCTGGGAAAAAAATATCAATTCATACACCATATTCCATACCAGATGGGGGCAGTATACCTCCAGAAAAATACCTCCGCGGCCGCGCACACTCATGTCTTCAAACAACACGGGCGAGCGGGTCTCCCTCACGCATATTAATCAGTAAAACTAATAGTAAAAGGTTGGAGGACCGCAGTTTCACGTGGATCATTTGGAGATTTTCAGAGATTAGAGACTAAATGAACAACATCTCAATACTAAATTATAAAGGCCGTCTCATAGACAAGCCGGTGCATTTCGACGATATGGGAAAATTAAAGCCCAGGCATTTTTAGTTTATGGTATTCGTTTTGTTCATGTTACATTTTTATCATTAGTTTGAATTAATTTGACAGACAGCATTCCCTGATGTGGACCAAGCTAGCGCCTTTCAGAGCTGCCAACTCTCACAAATTCACCGTGAGACACACAACTTTTCACACACTCACGCCACATCCATTTTGTCATGCACAGAAAAGGACACAGAGACCGATCTCAGCTCTCAGATTCTGTTAATTTTATTACGCAATTCAAACAATAAATGCAGTTTTGGCGCTTAATTGTAAATGTTAGACGACAGATCCCTAGCGCACGTGAACCGATCATCTCTACTAGCTAATGGTAAACGAACACGAACACTGTTGAAAGATATGTTACAACTTACCAAAATGTATTCCTCATGCATAATATCGACCAATCATTTATTTAACTCATCCCTGAACTGAAATTTAGTAGCGGGCTGTATTTCCACACGACATCACGACATGACATGCAGGTTCAAGTACACACAAGCCGGCGCGACTTACTCGTGTTACTGCAGTTTGGCTGGTGGTAACGTTGCCCGCCCGCATACCGCCTCCCATGGCCGAAACTGCTATTACGACACCTGCCGGGCCGGGGCTAATAATTTAGCATGCTAATTTAGGTTATATCTCGGCAGCACTATAACTTGCCAGTTTTTTAATGACATCATTGCACTTATTTCTTCTCATTCTTTTGATGTGTGTAGCTCATTTTTTGGATATTTGTACCTCAATTATTCCATATGGCACCTTTAAAGGGATAGTTCACTTTGAAATTAATGTTTGATATGTTTTAGCTCACCTCAAGGGCATCCAAGATCTAGGTGTCTTTGTTTCCACAGTATATTCAATTTTGACATTTTTAGGTCGAACCATTCTTGTCTTCAGTCATATAATGGAGGTCTATGGTCACCACCTCAAAGAGCATGTAGAGAAGTCCAAATTAAACATGATTTAATGACTCGTAAATGTAAGTACACGTTATGGCCTAAGACAAACGGAAGCGATCTCTTGCGCGTATACGTCACTCGTCTCGTACGTCATTCGTTTTCTCACACAAACCGCTCGTTTCGTGTCTTAGGCCATCAATGTGTACTTACATTTACGAGTCATTAAATCATGTTTAATTTGGACTTCTCTGTGCATGCTCTTTGAGGTGGTGACCATAGACCTGCATTATATGACTGTCAGACAAGAACGGTTCGACTTCAAAATATCAAAATTGAAAATACTGTGGAAACAAAGACACCTACATCTTGATGCCCTTGAGGTAAGATAAAACAAATCAAAAATTAATTTCAAAGTGAAATTTCCCTTTATTTAGTTAAATCAGATGTTTTAATTTGTGGACATAGGGTTAGGGTTGGGAGGTCTTCCTGGGAGGTCCTCATGACTGGAGTTGAGAAACACTGCTCTAACAGATTTAAAAATCATGATTACAAGCATGAAAAACTTAAAACCAATCCTAATTACATATTGTCTGTTTCCTGACCCTTTATGTGCTTTGTAGGAGAGGAACAAAGAAGAAAATGTTGCCACATGTTGCCACTCTTCGCTGCAAAGTGGTGTATTTAGTGGAATTTCTGAAACGTAAGTAGTATACACACACACACACACACACACACACAAACACACACACACACAAATATCTATTTTTCCTTTAATTGTAACCTTTTAATATTCTTTATCTGACTCTAACTGTATCTGTCATCCCTCTGTCTGTCTCTGACTGTATAATTATGTATTGTAATATATCTAATGTAATGTCATTTTCAATATTTCTTGCCACTCTTTGCATCCTGTGATGGAACAGCATCTGGAGCTGAATTATTCTCCATTTTTGATCATACGTTTTTTGGACTCACTTGGGGCCTTGTTGTTTGGACATGTTTGTCTGGGAACGAAGAGGTGACAATTCATTCATGTCTGTTTTTTTTTTTCAGAACCATTTTATTATGATCATGTTGGTCAACTTGTCGTTTTAAATGTCATTTGCGTATTTCTTCTTTGTGTGAAGGGCCCTGATGGCTTATTTGTTTTAAGTAATTAAAAAAATAATAATTCCATGTCCATTTGTAAAAATAAAAAATAATACATAAAAAATAAAATAATAAATAAAAAAATACAAAATACACTGTTTTATGCTTTTTTTCATGCATATTTTAAAGTTAAATAAATGTTGACCTGTTTTTATAGGATGTTGAATAGTTTGTTTGTTAGGGGAATTAAGTTGCATGTTATACAACACTTAATGAATTTAAAAACAATTGTTTAAAGCTTATTCAGTTGATAAATAATTAACATTTAAAATTCAGCTGGCGTTTTACATATTTCCCAGATATAGCAAATACAAAGATTCATGGAACTATTGTAAAAAATACAGTTATTTGCTGTAATCAGAGAATACAGTAAAAAGCTGTAAATTAAATTACAGAACTATACTGTAAAAAAAATACAGTAACTGGCTGGCAACCCTGCTGCCAGTATTTAACCCCCCAAATGGTGTCGCAAAATGAACAAGGTTGACCCAGAGTTGGATCAGAAGCTGTAACTTGTGAACAGTTTGTCACAAAATCGTAAAATTGGTATCTAACAATTCCCTGCGTCCTGTTGAATCCGAGGATATGTATTTTGGCAGGATTGGATGTACCAAGTCATAAGATACATTTAGCATTGAGCTGGCTTAGCATGCTAATCTGGATAACATGTCATGGAACTTTTTTGTGAATCATTCTCACACTGAACGCTCTCCCCTGCTGCTTTGAAATTCACGTCTGAGTGACGCAATATGCTAAACCATGTATCTCAAATACTAAACCACTCTAGTTGTGGGTTCGAGTCCCACGTGGGGTGACTTTAAAATTGTGTAATAAGTTTTCATTTCAATTCCTTCCTGCTCTGCACTGCTGTTTGTGCTTCAATGCTCACTGTGCTTCATTTACATGTGTATTGAATTTGTGCTGTTTTTGTTCTTGCGGCTCTGCACTGCTATTGGTGCTTAAATGCTTGCTGCTCTGCTGTGCTTAAAGTACTTGCTGTGCTTGAAGAACATTTACATGTACATTTAATTTCTAATGTTTCGTTCTTCGGGCTCCGCGCTGCTCTTGGTGCTTAAATGCTTGCTGCGCTGCTGTACTTGATGTGCTGGCTCTGTTTCGCGCATGGTCTGCTTGCTGCGCCTTGCTGGGCTTGGCCCCGTGTTGCTGCTTGCAGCTATATTTATTATTATTATTATTCCGCAAATGGGAGTCTATGGCAGCCCTATGAACCGTAAGTAGGAAAATGATGAAATTTGGCACACTTGTAGTGATGGTAATTATTAGTAATTGGTACAATTTTTGACCCTCTAGGCCCAACTCTATAGCGTCACCACCAGTTCAAAAATTCAACATTGAAATGGTTATAACTTTTGAACCCTTTGCTCTAGAGACATGAAACTTAGTACACCTTATTCCTCTCATCATGCTGATCACAACCAATACTGTACATTAAAACTCCACCCATTACAGTAGTGGCCATTTTGAAATGTACATTATTCCGTTTTTTTGCTACTCCTCCTTCAAATGTTGTCCAATTTTGTCCAAAATGTGCTCAAATGATCTTCGGACTGAGCCGCATAGAAATGACTGAACAGTTTTTTTTTTTATTTGTCTTTTTTCAAAAGTTATGATGTTGCAAACTTAACAAGGTCCACCCAAAATTGGCTAAGAGGCTGTATCTCGGCTGAAGTTTGATCAATCGAAACGAAAATTGGTACACTTCATCGGAAGCATGTTTTGAGGTTCCATACCAAAGTTGGGAATAGCGCCACCTACGGGTCATGAGATATGAAAAATTGCTATTTTGGCCAATAACTTTTGAACACTTTGTCAGAAAATCATAATTGTGGTATCTATGGATTCCTTGCGTCATGCCGAATCCCTGCATATCGATTTTTTCCTTGATGGGATGTACCCTGTGGCCGCCATTTTGAATGTTGTCATAATTTGCAATATCTTTTAAACAATTTGAAATTTCTTCACCAAATTTGGTATGGATTACCATTAGCATGGCCCGGAAGTACCTGAGAAGTTTGGTCACAGCGCCACCTATTGTTCCAGAGATATCATTGTTTTTTGAAAAAACACTTATAACTTTTGTTAACATTGCTTGAAATTTGATTTTTATATGTCAAAATATTCCTTGGGTTATGCCGATTTCAACGATATCTCATATGTTACTTTTGAACAATGTGACTGGCCGCCATATTGGAGTGAATGTGAAACCGTTTTTTTGTTACTCCTCCTTCAAATTTTGTCTAATTTTCTCCAAACATGCACTCAAATGATCTTCGGACCGAGCTGCATAAAAGTACTGTTCCTGATTTTTTTTTTCTTCAAAAGTTATGGTGTCGCAAAATGAACAAGGTATCTATCGATTCACTGCGTCCTGTCGAATCCGAGGATATGTATTTTGCCAGGATTGGATGTACCAAGTCATAAGATACATTATCATTGAGCTAGCTTAGCATGCTAATCTGGATAAAATGTCATGGAACTTTTTTGTGAATCATTCTCACACTGAACCCTCTCCCCTGCTGCTTGAAATTCACAACCTCTGAGTGGCGCAATATGCTAAGCTATGTATCTCAAATCCTGAACCACGCTGGTTGTGGGTTTGAGTCCCATGTAGGGTGACTTTAAAATTGTGTATTAAGTTTTCATTTCAATTCCTTACTGCTCTGCACTGCTGTTGGTGCTTAAATGCTCACTGTGCTTCATTTACATGTGTATTCAATTTGTGCTTTTTTTGTTCTAGCGGCTCTGCACTGCTATTGGTGCTTAAATGCTTGCTGCTCTGCTGTGCTTACAGTACTTGCTGTACTTGATGTGCTTGAAGTACATTTACATGTACATTTAATTTCTGATGTTCTGTTCTTCGGGCTCCGCACTGCTCTTGGTGCTTAAATGCTTGCTGTGCTGCTGTACTTGATGTGCTGGCTGTGCGCCATGCTTGGACTACTTGCGGTGCCTTGCAGGGCTTGGCCCCGTATTGCTGCTTGCAGCTATATTTTTGTATCTGTATTTAGTTCTCTCTGTTTCAGTCTGTGCTTGTCGGTTCTTGTGTGTGTAATCTTCTGCCAGTCTTCCTTGTACCTGTTTGGAGTTTTTGAGTAAATGTTTTGTATTGGAGCTTTGCATCAGCCTCAGCCTGTCTTCATTCCACACAACACCGTGACAATAATCACTCTCTCTCTCTCTCTCTCTCACACACACACCAACACACTTTCTCACACATACGCACATGTACACACTCGCACACACACACATACTTTCAAACAAACACACACACTTGCATGTTAAATGGTTTTCTAAAGTATTCAATTTACTCACTGCATATTTGTTTAATTCAGATAATAATAACTATAATAGTAATAGTTATTAATAATAATCTCAATAATTAATAATAATAACCAAAACACTATAAAGAAAATGACAAAATATAAAGTTAAGCCACTTCATAAGACTACACAATTTAGTGAATATTTAATTTACTGTAAATGTATTGCATTATGCCTTTATGGGGTTTCTTCTTGTCTTCAAGGAAAAAGCCGGCGACCCGACATGTAAAGTTGATTCTGATTGGTCCTCTTCTATGCATTCGAAGTGCTGATTGGCTCATGCAGATAGAACCTTATAGAGCCAAGTTAGAGTTCGACTTTGTAGATAGAACCTTTTTGTTTTTTCAATAAAAAGTCCCACAATTACTTAAAAAAACACATCACATAACGTAAATAAGTTGTCACAGAATAAGAATATGTGAATAACTCAATTTTGGGGGCCGACATGTTAACTGCCCACTATTGGAATCAGTTGAGATTGTGAAGAGTTTGTTACAACATTAAGTTGTTAGCTTAGCAACATGCTAATGTCAGATTCTTCTGGACTCAACTGAGATTTAGGGTACGTTTACACGATAACGATAAGCAAACAACTGAAACTTTTTTCTTTGTACAGATGACAACGTTATCAAAACAATCCCAGTTCACATGGATCCGTGAAAACTATTAATGACGCTGTATTATTCATGCCAGACAACCCAGATAGCAAACTGACATTGAATCAACGTGGAAATATGACATCGAAACAACGTTGATCCGACATTGTTTTGCTCATCGAATTAACGTTGAACCAACGTCAGATGCGTCATTCTTTCAAAACTAACGGAAAATCAACTTGAAATCAACGCGTTGTTTCAACGTTATGAAAGCAAACCAATTTTCGATTTTCATTTAGCTTTGAAGAATGCCGCGTCTGACGTTGGTTCAACGTTAATTCGATGAGCAAATCAACGTTGTTTCAATGTCATGAGAGACGTCGTTTCCACGTTGATTCAATGTCAGTTTGCTGTCTGGGAAGCAGCTGGAGAAGCAGTTTCTTTGTAAAGACAGACTACTGCGCCTGACGTTTTCACAGATTTGCGTTGTTATAGTTTACATGGAAGTTATAAGGTGTCATTTTCAAAAACGTGCACTTTGAAACCTTTTTTAAAATGTAAGCATTTTCAGGCCACAAAAAACACTGTTGTCGCGTAAATGAACGGCCAAAACGCACAAAAAGTTTAATTTCACTCTGTGCATATATATCTATGGACTCGGCGCAGTAATATCATCACTCCGGAGAGGTAGAGGACTTTTTCTTACAAGTGATGATATTACTGCGCCGAGTCGAACTGGACCCAAGCACTTGCTGTGGTATTCCGAGTCGGCGCCATACATTATAGCTATCCACTTTACACGCTTAAAAAAGTGCAACGTTTTATTTTGTGTCACCATTCTTGGTTGAGTTACACTACTCGTGTAACTGTATTTAAATAGGGAAAACGTGGATGTGTTTGGTCGCTTCTCTGCTTGGATCCTAATGAATGAACTGAGCTAAGCTAAGTGCTATCAAAGTGTCTCGCGCGCCAGAGTGATTGACGAGAGAGGTATGAAAAAACAGTGGAGTATCCCTTTAAAATAATTACCAGTGAGTCTCTGAATGCACCCCGTCTCAGCTGTCGCTCCAGAGCTGCAGCCTGATTCCTCACCTCCAATTCATACACTCTACGACTGCCCTACACACACACACACAATACCACAACACGTCAGCTCAAATATATACACACACATCTCAATAGATGCTTCAGACTCACTTCAATGTATTCTTCATCCAGTTTCACATTCTTGTGCATGGCCTGCAGAACCTCCACATGGAACCAGCGGAACTGGACCAAGACCAGCAAACACACAGTAAAGATTGAGACGGTTTCTGAATCCAATCAGACAGAAAGACTTGAATTTTGAACTTACCAGTCCCTCGACTTCAGCCGTCAGCTTCCGCTGGGTCTCTGATATCTGAATCAACACGTCACCTGGGAAACAAACAAATACATTCATTCAATAATTCATTAAGAATACATATTTAATAAGTGCAGAAATGGAAGAGTAGGTTTTTGTGAAAGATGTTAATATCATACAGTATCATTGAACGGAGACTGTTGTGTTTGTTCACTGTTGTAAGAGTCGTAACAAACCAAGAGACTAAAACTAGTAATTTTCCACTGAATTTGATTATCATTAAAATCCTGTCATCATTTACCCACCCTAATGTTGTCTTTCTGCAGCAAAATACAAAAGAAGATATTTGGAAGAATGTTTTAACTGTTTTTGCCCATAAAATGAAAGTCAATGGGGTCCAAAAATGTTGTTTTGGACCCCATTGACTTTCAATGAATGGACAAAAAATAAATAAAATAAAAAAAACACTAAAATATTGCTAAAAATTTCTAAATATTTGTCAAAATGTCATATTTTGTGTACCTCAGAATAAAAAATAATAATGATATGACTGCGAGTAAAGGATTTTAATGACTTTATTAAAGAAATGTATTAAATATTACAGTGATTCAATTTAACTGGTAATAATTCTTGTAAGTTAATTAATGATTGATTCTTATATTATGATTCTTGGTTAATTATAATTATGATTTATTATAATTACAAATATGTATAATTATACCTAATTATATTAGTTCCAACATTTATCATGTAGCTTGTCCAAAAAACATGATATTTTTTGTCTTTTTGTATTAACATGTGCATTGTAATGATGAGTGTAACGTGCTGAGGTGAATCAATTAATTTGAAGGGGTGAAAGAATGAGACCATGCATCAATAATTTATGTCTCAATGCTCACATGGACACCTGATCTCGAACTCACACACACACACACACACACACACACTCACGCACACATTCGCCCTCACACCTGTCTTTTCCTGTCACATGCAGGTTTATACACCTGTAGTAATTTTGAAAGATATTTACTCAATATTTATTTTATTCATGCTGTTCCATCTTTAAGCGCCTACATGTTTTGTTCTGATGCTCATCATGCCATGGCGCTCTGTGTGTACGAAGAATGAAAACTCATTACATGGGCAGTGAGCCGAGGGTTTCGCTGAGCCAAATCTTGTGTTTTATGACAGAGGAGAGGAAGCATCTGCCACTGGACACCATTTGCTGAAACATCTATTGTCTGAAGGACAAACAAGCTCTGATACAGCCAGAAAGTACAGATAGAAACTCTATGGACATCTTGCTGCACAATCTGCCCAACTGGCATTGATTTAGAGACACAAAAACACACACATCTTGAGTCTTACCAAGTGATCTGGATGACAATGTGTTGAGAGCTTGCTCGCCCATCTTCTCAAGAGCGCTGAAGTAGGCCTCGCTTGTCAGAGTTAAAGCTTCAATACACGCACATACACAAAAGTATAGTAAATTTAGACAGTTTTTTCAGCATTCCCTGATGATAATAACAACAAAAACCAGACTGTGGTGGTTTGCTGGTTTTCCAGCCTGGTCAAGTTGTTTTTTGTCTGGTCTTTAGGCTTCATAACTAATAAAGTGTCCTCTAAAACCATAAAAACAGACCAGACAAACTAAGCACCCTAACCAGACTGGGAGACTAGCTAACCACTATACCGCAGGCTGGTTTAAACAGGGTTTTAAGCAGGGTTGCCATTTTATTACATGTCTTTCAAAGTATTTTAAAACACAATATTTAACCAAACGAAAAGCAAAAAGCAAAGCAAAACAAAACAACCTAAAAGAAAACAAACAAAAAAAATCACAAAAAATAAACAAAACAACCCAAAAGAAAACAAGTAAAACCCCCCAAATAAAACAAAACAACCCAAAAGAAAACAAAAAACTCACAAAAAAGAAACAAAAAACAAAAAAAAAAAAAAAAACCCACACAAAAAAACTAAACAAAAAAGAAACAAAAGAAAACAAAAAAAAAACCCAAAAACCCAAAAGAAAACAAAAAACCCACAAAAAACAAAAAAAAACAAAAGAAAACAAAAAATCCCACAAAAAACAAAACAACCGAAAAGAACACAAAAAACCCACAAAACAAAAAAACTAAAAATAAACAAAAGAAAACAAAAAAAGCCCACAAAAAAACAACCCAAAAGAAAACAAAAAACCCACAAAAAACAAAACAAAATAAGAATCAAAGAATACAAAAAACCTACAAAAAAAAAGAAAAAAAGAAAGAAAAAAAGCCCAAAAGAAAACAGAAAGAACCCATAACAAAACACAAATCAAAACATTAATACCTTCAATAAAAATGTCAATACACTTTCAGGAGTCTATTTGAAAACACACACAAACAATATGCTCACCTTGCAAAGCGTTGATGTAGCTGTTCCCTAAAGTAACCAGCTTTTGCAAGCCGGGATTAAACTGATCCATGAGGTTCTGAATAACCCAAACAACACCATCATACTGTCAATATCCATGCTGAGGTATTATTAAATATGAGTAAGTACAAAGCTAATTATTATCTCGAACAGCATCAATGACCAGCTGTCTGTACAGTTTCCTGCCTAATACACGGCTAATAAATAAACATTAAATATTGATTTTATAATGTGATAAAAGACTCGAGTGATTCGAGAGACCTGACACTGACCTGAGAAAATTATTGATTAAACATTTTAGTGCTTTTCATTTACAAAATATCGACCACAGAACGTCACGACTGACCAATCACAATCAAGTATTCCAGAGAACCGTTTAATAATGTTAATAATTAATGAGCATTCTCATTTGATCCCAGCTTAAATGAGAGAAACTTAAGACTCACATTATAAACACTCAAAGTTGATCTATGCAGAAGGTCACTGTTCGCACCAGACATGTTTCTGTTGGAAAATACACACGTAACACTACGCAAAGCAACAATGAACATGACCAATCAACTCCAGAGGAGAATATCGAAAACATTGACAGAGAAACACACAAGAGACGGCTTTACGTACCTGTGACGGTGAAAGTTTTCACGCTGTAGTTATTGTGTGTGTGATGACACTCTCCTTATGTCTGTAATGGCTTTTTTCAGGTCGTTGTTAATGGCTATTAGGGCGAGAGAGGGCGAGTAAGAGAGAGAGAGAGGAGTCCACATCTGATACGGCCTGAAGTTTTGAATTATTTACCTGTCCCATGACAGAACATGGAGATGGGCGGGCAGGAGATACACACTTTAACTGAGAGAACAGCTGTAGAAGTGACACTTCATCTGCTTGAGCCAGAAGCAGGTAAAACAGCTTCAACAACATATGTGCAATAATTATTGCTGGTTTCCTGAAACTATACAACTAAAAGCTTTTACAGGCTCTTGTTGAATAAAAGTACATGCTACTCCACAACTTATTTGGGTTTTTTTAAGGGTACCCCTGTCGTTTTTTTCGGGCGTTTATGCCATTATAAATATCTCAATATCTCAGCTCTGGAAGAGTATACAGCCTCCATTTTTGCACTCAGGTCTAAGTCTCATGGCCCTCTATCAGAATTTGGGAAGATTGGAGAAACTTAATTTTTGCGCCCAAAAAAAAAAAACGTAAGGGGTACCACTGTCGTTTTTTTTTCGGGCCGAATTTTTGAGTTTCGATATCTCAGCTCTGGAAGGGGCTAGAGCCTCCATTTTTGCACTCAGGTCTAAGTCTCATGGCCCTCTATCAGAATTTGGGAAGATTGGAGAAACTTAATTTTTCGCCCAAAAAAAAAACGTAAGGGGTACCACTGTCGTTTTTTTTTCGGGCCGAATTTTTGAGTTTCGATATCTCAGCTCTGGAAGGGGCTAGAGCCTCCATTTTTGCACTCAGGTCTAAGTCTCATGGCCCTCTATCAGAATTTGGGAAGATTGGAGAAACTTAATTTTTCGCCCAAAAAAAAAAACGTAAGGGGTACCACTGTCGTTTTTTTTCGGGCCGAATTTTTGAGTTTCGATATCTCAGCTCTGGAAGGGGCTAGAGCCTCCATTTTTGCACTCAGGTCTAAGTCTCATGGCCCTCTATCAGAATTTGGGAAGATTGGAGAAACTTAATTTTTCGCCCAAAAAAAAAAACGTAAGGGGTACCACTGTCGTTTTTTTTTTCGGGCCGAATTTTTGAGTTTCGATATCTCAGCTCTGGAAGGGGCTAGAGCCTCCATTTTTGCACTCAGGTCTAAGTCTCATGGCCCTCTATCAGAATTTGGGAAGATTGGAGAAACTTAATTTTTGGCCAAAAAAAAAAAAAACGTAAGGGGTACCACTGTCGTTTTTTTTTTCGGGCCGAATTTTTGAGTTTCGATATCTCAGCTCTGGAAGGGGCTAGAGCCTCCATTTTTGCACTCAGGTCTAAGTCTCATGGCCCTCTATCAGATTTTGGGAAGATTGGAGAAACTTAATTTTTCGCCCCAAAAAAAAAACGTAAGGGGTACCACTGTCGTTTTTTTTTTCGGGCCGAATTTTTGAGTTTCGATATCTCAGCTCTGGAAGGGGCTAGAGCCTCCATTTTTGCACTCAGGTCTAAGTCTCATGGCCCTCTATCAGAATTTGGGAAGATTGGAGAAACTTAATTTTTCGCCCAAAAAAAAAAAAACGTAAGGGGTACCACTGTCGTTTTTTTTTCGGGCCGAATTTTTGAGTTTCGATATCTCAGCTCTGGAAGGGGCTAGAGCCTCCATTTTTGCACTCAGGTCTAAGTCTCATGGCCCTCTATCAGAATTTGGGAAGATTGGAGAAACTTAATTTTTCGCCCAAAAAAAAAAAACGTAAGGGGTACCACTGTCGTTTTTTTTTCGGGCCGAATTTTTGAGTTTCGATATCTCAGCTCTGGAAGGGGCTAGAGCCTCCATTTTTGCACTCAGGTCTAAGTCTCATGGCCCTCTATCAGAATTTGGGAAGATTGGAGAAACTTAATTTTTCGCCCCCAAAAAAAAACGTAAGGGGTACCACTGTCGTTTTTTTTTTCGGGCCGAATTTTTGAGTTTCGATATCTCAGCTCTGGAAGGGGCTAGAGCCTCCATTTTTGCACTCAGGTCTAAGTCTCATGGCCCTCTATCAGAATTTGGGAAGATTGGAGAAACTTAATTTTTCGCCCAAAAAAAAAACGTAAGGGGTACCACTGTCGTTTTTTTTTCGGGCCGAATTTTTGAGTTTCGATATCTCAGCTCTGGAAGGGGCTAGAGCCTCCATTTTTGCACTCAGGTCTAAGTCTCATGGCCCTCTATCAGAATTTGGGAAGATTGGAGAAACTTAATTTTTCGCCCAAAAAAAAAAAAACGTAAGGGGTACCACTGTCGTTTTTTTTTCGGGCCGAATTTTTGAGTTTCGATATCTCAGCTCTGGAAGGGGCTAGAGCCTCCATTTTTGCACTCAGGTCTAAGTCTCATGGCCCTCTATCAGAATTTGGGAAGATTGGAGAAACTTAATTTTTGCCCAAAAAAAAAAACGTAAGGGGTACCACTGTCGTTTTTTTTTTTCGGGCCGAATTTTTGAGTTTCGATATCTCAGCTCTGGAAGGGGCTAGAGCCTCCATTTTTGCACTCAGGTCTAAGTCTCATGGCCCTCTATCAGAATCCAGAGTTTTGGGAAGATTGGAGAAACTTAATTTTTCGCCCAAAAAAAAAAAAAACGTAAGGGGTACGTACCACTGTCGTTTTTTTTCGGGCCGAATTTTTGAGTTTCGATATCTCAGCTCTGGAAGGGGCTAGAGCCTCCATTTTTGCACTCAGGTCTAAGTCTCATGGCCCTCTATCAGAATTTGGGAAGATTGGAGAAACTCAAAAATTCGGCCCGAAAAAAAAACGACAGTGGTACCCCTGTACGTTTTTTTTTTTGGGCGAATTTTTAAGTTTCTCCAATCTTCCCAAATTCTGATAGAGGGCCATGAGACTTAGACCTGAGTGCAAAAATGGAGGCTCTAGCCCCTTCCAGAGCTGAGATATCGAAACTCAAAAATTCGGCCCGAAAAAAAAACGACAGTGGTACCCCTTACGTTTTTTTTTGGGCGAAAAATTAAGTTTCTCCAATCTTCCCAAATTCTGATAGAGGGCCATGAGACTTAGACCTGAGTGCAAAAATGGAGGTTCTAGCCCCTTCCAGAGCTGAGATATCGAAACTCAAAAATTCGGCCCGAAAAAAAAAACGACAGTGGTACCCCTTACGTTTTTTTTTTGGGCGAAAAATTAAGTTTCTCCAATCTTCCCAAATTCTGATAGAGGGCCATGAGACTTAGACCTGAGTGCAAAAATGGAGGCTCTAGCCCCTTCCAGAGCTGAGATATCGAAACTCAAAAATTCGGCCCGAAAAAAAAACGACAGTGGTACCCCTTACGTTTTTTTTTTTTGGGCGAAAAATTAAGTTTCTCCAATCTTCCCAAATTCTGATAGAGGGCCATGAGACTTAGACCTGAGTGCAAAAATGGAGGCTCTAGCCCCTTCCAGAGCTGAGATATCGAAACTCAAAAATTCGGCCCGAAAAAAAAACGACAGTGGTACCCCTTACGTTTTTTTTTTGGGCGAAAAATTAAGTTTCTCCAATCTTCCCAAATTCTGATAGAGGGCCATGAGACTTAGACCTGAGTGCAAAAATGGAGGCTCTAGCCCCTTCCAGAGCTGAGATATCGAAACTCAAAAATTCGGCCCGAAAAAAAAACGACAGTGGTACCCCTTACGTTTTTTTTTTTGGGCGAAAAATTAAGTTTCTCCAATCTTCCCAAATTCTGATAGAGGGCCATGAGACTTAGACCTGAGTGCAAAAATGGAGGCTCTAGCCCCTTCCAGAGCTGAGATATCGAAACTCAAAAATTCGGCCCGAAAAAAAAACGACAGTGGTACCCCTTACGTTTTTTTTTTGGGCGAAAAATTAAGTTTCTCCAATCTTCCCAAATTCTGATAGAGGGCCATGAGACTTAGACCTGAGTGCAAAAATGGAGGCTCTAGCCCCTTCCAGAGCTGAGATATCGAAACTCAAAAATTCGGCCCGAAAAAAAAACGACAGTGGTACCCCTTACGTTTTTTTTTTTGGGCGAAAAATTAAGTTTCTCCAATCTTCCCAAATTCTGATAGAGGGCCATGAGACTTAGACCTGAGTGCAAAAATGGAGGCTCTAGCCCCTTCCAGAGCTGAGATATCGAAACTCAAAAATTCGGCCCGAAAAAAAAAACGACAGTGGTACCCCTTACGTTTTTTTTTTGGGCGAAAAATTAAGTTTCTCCAATCTTCCCAAATTCTGATAGAGGGCCATGAGACTTAGACCTGAGTGCAAAAATGGAGGCTCTAGCCCCTTCCAGAGCTGAGATATCGAAACTCAAAAATTCGGCCCGAAAAAAAAAACGACAGTGGTACCCCTTACGTTTTTTTTTTGGGCGAAAAATTAAGTTTCTCCAATCTTCCCAAATTCTGATAGAGGGCCATGAGACTTAGACCTGAGTGCAAAAATGGAGGCTCTAGCCCCTTCCAGAGCTGAGATATCGAAACTCAAAAATTCGGCCCGAAAAAAAAACGACAGTGGTACCCCTTACGTTTTTTTTTTGGGCGAAAAATTAAGTTTCTCCAATCTTCCCAAATTCTGATAGAGGGCCATGAGACTTAGACCTGAGTGCAAAAATGGAGGCTCTAGCCCCTTCCAGAGCTGAGATATCGAAACTCAAAAATTCGGCCCGAAAAAAAAAACGACAGTGGTACCCCTTACGTTTTTTTTTTTGGGCGAAAAATTAAGTTTCTCCAATCTTCCCAAATTCTGATAGAGGGCCATGAGACTTAGACCTGAGTGCAAAAATGGAGGCTCTAGCCCCTTCCAGAGCTGAGATATCGAAACTCAAAAATTCGGCCCGAAAAAAAAACGACAGTGGTACCCCTTACGTTTTTTTTTTTGGGCGAAAAATTAAGTTTCTCCAATCTTCCCAAATTCTGATAGAGGGCCATGAGACTTAGACCTGAGTGCAAAAATGGAGGCTCTAGCCCCTTCCAGAGCTGAGATATCGAAACTCAAAAATTCGGCCCGAAAAAAAAACGACAGTGGTACCCCTTACGTTTTTTTTTTGGGCGAAAAATTAAGTTTCTCCAATCTTCCCAAATTCTGATAGAGGGCCATGAGACTTAGACCTGAGTGCAAAAATGGAGGCTCTAGCCCCTTCCAGAGCTGAGATATCGAAACTCAAAAATTCGGCCCGAAAAAAAAACGACAGTGGTACCCCTTACGTTTTTTTTTTTGGGCGAAAAATTAAGTTTCTCCAATCTTCCCAAATTCTGATAGAGGGCCATGAGACTTAGACCTGAGTGCAAAAATGGAGGCTCTAGCCCCTTCCAGAGCTGAGATATCGAAACTCAAAAATTCGGCCCGAAAAAAAAACGACAGTGGTACCCCTTACGTTTTTTTTTTTGGGCGAAAAATTAAGTTTCTCCAATCTTCCCAA